GCTCCATCAGATGGATGTGAAACCCGCCTTTCTGAATGGGAATTTAGATGAAGCAGTCTATATGGATCAACCTGAAGGTTTTGTGGTTGAGGGAAAAGAACATATGGTGTGTAAATTAAAGAAGTCAATATACGGACTTAAACAAGCTTCCCAACAATGGTATATTAAGTTCAATGATACCATTACATCTTTTGGATTTAAGGATAACATCGCCTATCGATGTATATATCTGAAGATTACTGGGAGTAAGTTTATAATTTTAGTTCTGTATGTTGACGATATCTTGCTTGCTACTAATGATCTTGGTTTATTACATCAAACCAAGGAGTTTCTCTCTAAGAACTTTGAAATGAAGGATTTGGGTGAGGCATCCTATGTGATTGGAATAGAAATATTTCGTGATAGATCACAAGGACTGTTGGGATTGTCTCAGAAATCATAAATTAACCAGATCCTAGAGAGATACAACATGGCTGAATGCTCTGCAAATGTCGTTCCAATTCAGAAGGGAGATAAATTTAGTCTCAAACAATGTCCAAAGAATGAATTGGAACGCAAGCAAATGGAACACATTCCTTATGAATCTATTGTTGGAAGTTTGAATTATGCACAAACTTGTACCAGACCAGACATCAGTTTTGTTGTCGATATGCTGGGCAGGTATCAAAGCAATCCAGGAGTAGATCATAGGAAAGCTGCAAAGAAGGTACTAAGGTATCTGCAAGGAACAAAAGACCACATGCTCACCTTTAGGAGATCTGATCACCTTGAGGTGATTGGATATTCATATTCAGATTATGCTGGATGTGTAGACACCAGGAAGTCTACTTTTGGCTATTTGTTCCTTCTAGCCGGAGGGGCAATTTCATGGAAGCTGAATTCATAGCTTGTTATAAAGCTAGGCATCATGGTTTATGGCTGCGGAATTTTATTTCTGGACTTGGAATTGTCGACACTATCGCCAAGCCGCTGAAAATTTACTGTGATAATTCCGCAGCGTATTCTTCTCTAAGAATGAAAAGTATTCGAAGGGTGCTAAGCATATGGAGGTGAAATACTTTGTCGTTAAGGAAGAAGTTTAGAAACAAAGGGTGTCGATCGAGCATATTAGCACACAGCTTATGATTGCTGATCCATTAGCAAATGGATTGCCTCCTAAGACATTTACTGAACATGTCGAAAGGATGGGGATTATAGGACGTCATGACTAAAGTTATTTTATGTTTCATGGATTGACACTTTGAGATCATTTATTTTGTTTCTGGAATAAAGTTATGAATCTTGTTTTATTTATTATGATCAGTATATATACATTATGCATTATGTGAACAGAACAAGATTTTTGTCTTTAGGGAAGACATTATTGTTGGACCATGTCGATAAATTGATATAGAACCGCCATGATCCTAATCTAGTTTTCATACTTGATTATGACTTTATGGTGAACCAAATATTATGGGTTTATCTTATGATGTGCACACTTATGTTTATTATTAGATCTTGTGATATGTAATGACACATGGACCAAGTGGGAGAATGTAAGCCCAATTCCCGTATGTCACTAGGGAATAATTGTGGTCCAAGTGTAATTATCACTTAATGGTTTAATAATAAGGTAAATCCTATATTGATTAGGTTAATGAAAGTTAAATTCCTAATATACCCTGATGGTGGGTCTATATAAAGAAGCCCTAGGATTGGTCCTCTCTCAACCCATTACGTAGAATTTCTTAGCCATCACAGAAATCTCTAAACCTAAAACCTAAAGGCGTCAAGAGGGAGAAACTCAATTTCGGTGATTACTACTCCAGCACCGCTGCCGCTCTCGTCATGGATCGAGGTAGGTTTTCTCGATCTTTTATCAATTCGTGAAATCATCCAATTCTAAGATCCATGCTATTATGATCTATGTTTACACGGGAACCCCTGTCTACCATCGCTTAATTTTCCTCGGCGACTGGGCTGCCATTTTTGTAGGGGATTCTATACTTTTGCCCACCATTTTTTGTTGGGTAATTCTATGAGAGAGAGAGAGATGAATTTTTTGGCAACGGTGGAGAAGATTTTACGGCGACAACGTCTGTTTTGTTATGTTTGTTGGACGATTTTGTAATGTTTGTAAATATGTTTTGTGATTTTGTATCAATTCGATTTGTATCGTTTATCATTCTAGTTTGTCATTTTTATCTATTATGTTTGTAATGTTTCTATGACTAATTTGTCTACATTGTAATTTGTAATATTTGTTAGGCTAGTTTGTATACTTTATGTTATGATTTGTATATTTTGTATTCATTGATTTGTAATACAGTTTTACTGATTTGTATTATAAGTAGTGTTTTTTTGTATTGTTAGTATACTTTGTAATGTTTGTCTGTTTATTTTGTAATTTTTGTAAGCTTTGTTATTTTGTAATGTTTGGTTCTTTTGTAATGTTTGTAAGATTTGTTACTCTTGTCAACCATGTTTGTAATGTCTTTTATTTAGAAAAAACAACTTGGTTGACTTTTTGACGTAACTCCTCTATATAGAGATGGAGACTCCAAAGTCAACCCGAGTGTTTTGTCTATTTTGTATGGTTTGTCGATCTTGTTTGTCATTTTTGTCAACCATGCTTGTATTGTTTGTATGTTTAAAAACAACTGGGATTGACTTTTGGACGGTGCCCCTCTATATAGGGATGAAGCCTCGAAAGTCAACCTGGTTGTTTTTTCATTTTTTATATTTTGTATTGTTTGTTGGTCTACTTTGTATTGTTTGTATAGTTTGTATGTTTGTATTGTTTGTAAATCTGTTTGTATGTTTTGTCGTTCTAGTTTGTATTGTTTGTATGGTTTGTACTGTTTGTAAGTCTGTTTTGTATACTTCGCAATTTTTCATAATACCCAAACTACCCATGTTAGTAGTTAAAAAGCCCTTCCCATTTATTGACCGCTAGATTGATATGTCCAAATCTAAGGGCTGGGAGGGGCTTAGTCAAGTGACTAAGCACCCCTTAGTCACCTGATCCTCCTCCCATTAGAAGGAGGCAGTTGCAATAAAGATCACTACTTTCATTTTAGTAGGCTTGTGAAGTAGCGTACCAATGTCCATGACATTCCCCATTATAGTTAACAATTCATGAACACATTATTAAAACTAGCAGTTGAGGTCGAGCTTAACGATCAACTGATGATGTTGAAATCGAGGTCGAGCTTTGTCGGGTGCAGGATTTGCATTAGCCAATCTTGGAGTGGTGATCGAGAAATCATTAGTGGTCAGGAGGAGGTTCTCTGCATCTAGGATAATGAAAAAGAAAAGTCGTGCAACATATGCAATATCTTTTGTGGTGTTGCTCGACAATATGGACATATAGCTACAGTTGACATTTGTCTTCAATCCCTTTTTTCGTTGTTATTAGTTTATGTACACAACTAGCCACTAAAAAGAGCTTGCATGTCATGATCCGATCCATGTCACTTTCTGAGCCTCAAGTCCATGTCATTACTTTCGCTGCTGACATGGCCCACTACACGATCATATATTGAACAGATTCTACGCTTTTGGGTACCTCAAATCAGGTTATCCTCTCACGTACCTACTTTTGGTGGTTGAATCTAGCAACCTACAAAGTCACCTCCTTAGTAAGTATTGGTTAGTAAGCTCTCAATCCCACTCACCTTGGAGTGTAATGAACACAATGACTAAGTGGTTAGGGTTCTTAAATGACACATCTCGCTTCACATGGTCGAGTAGAATTTCACCTCTATTGATCTGGCGGTTGTTCTAGAAGCTAGATTGCTAGTCATCTCGGAAGTTCATATGCATTCCTTCCACATAATTGGCCGACCGTGCAATATTTAGCTTGAACACTTATAGCTCATTAAGGATTTTTAAAATCTTTTATGCTAATTAGATTGAGAAGCCTGATTAAACTCTTTAGCCTTTTACAAACTTAGACCACCATAAACTTTAGGCTTAAAATCATGCCAATTAACTAGGTAATCCTTCTGGCCCTGAGATTTGTCCAAAACTCAAACCTTTGATCTTCTTATCAATTTGATCACATATAAAATGCATGGATACATATGGCTTCAACCACATGTGTTGGAAGTCAATTGAGTGCTACTTAAGATGACTAGTATCATTGAACATGCAAGAGTTAGCGACTTGGCCTTACAAACTGCAAGGCCGCAAGCTTTTTATACATTCAATCTTAAAAGAGCTTTTGTTACCTCACTAAGCACGACAGGATACATATCAAGATCTAATCACTTGAGTCCGTGCAGATTATTGTCAATAGTTAGCGCGTGTCAACAACTACATATTATATAACCTATTGTGACAAAACGAAAATAACAAAATTTTATTTTTGTCGTAATAGGCCGAATTTGTTGTAGTGGATGACATTATCGTATAGTGGTAATCAAGGTCGTATTTTACACAGGTCCTGGTATCCTAGCCTACTTTCCACCTAATTGTTAATTAGTTAATCAGTTTTGGAGGTTTGAGTGGTGGATTTGAGGGAACTACTAGTTTAGAGATTGAATAAAGATAAAATCAGGTACTTCGTGGAACTATCCCCCACACTAGCCTAGGGTTACTACGCATGTATAGATACTTAGGGTTATCAAATGTGGTGAGTGAGCTCGTTTTCGTGGGCTATTGTGGTTATCCACACACCTCCGAGTACGTCACCCTAGACCCATATAAAGTCACCTCGATCTAGGCTATCGTATCTGGGACACTAAGCTCATAGCTACTTTAAATGGATACTATCCACCGTCCACACTGAGGTTTTATCATGGGTTCTATCTAGGAAGGCTACCTATAACAGGGGTTCGCTCGCCTTGATCACCATAGATCCCTATTCATACATCTACCTCGATTTGCTTGACGGTGCATACTCGTTTAACACTAGAACTCCGTACCCAGAGTAAAAGCATAAAGTAGGCTAATAGAGAAGATTAGGGTGACTTACCCAAACACAGTCAAAGATAGAATAGCAATAGAATCAACTAGATCAACACATTCATTCATTCAAACCCTAAAATATCCATACATACAAAGTAAACCCTAAAACTAGGGTTTGGGGTTTAGAATCCCTAATGCCCTAGAGGACTACTTCATAAAGGAGATAAGAAGATACATAGAAGAAATTGAAGAAGACTTGAGGTTGAGGAAGATGCCTCCTCTCTTCTAGCTCCTTCTCCTCTTATCCTTCCTTCAGCTTCTCTCTCGCTAAAACCATAAATTCTTCTGTCAAAATGAGCTCCTGTAAAAAGGGGAAAGGGGTCTCTTATTTATAGGCAATCAGAGGACGGACAAGTTCGTGGCCAGAAGGGCAGAGATCGCGGACAGGATCTTCAGAGGAGGGGCCGCGATCTTGGAACGCAGTCGTACTGGCCTTCAAGATTGAGGAGATCGACGGCTGACTTCGCGATCGCAATCCGCGAGTTCCGACCACGATCTTCCTCGCGGTCAAAATACATTGTGGCTGTGATTTGACTAGGAAAACTCTCATTTTCTCTTCGGCTCCTTCTTCGCGATGTTTACGCCCTGAGCCCTCAAATTCGCGGTCGCGATCTTGGGCATCCAGGCAGGGGAATCGCCGATTCATCTACATCCGTGGGTTTCATTCCTCCGTTGACCTTCTTCCCCAGTCTCTGCAACCCAGGGAGAATCGATTAACATGATTCTCATATCTAAATGAAACATGCAAAATGTACAAGAGAGAAAAAGAAAGCCATACCGGAAATCAGGACCCAAGTAAGGCCTGCCGAGCAGCTTGTTTTTGGGAAGCAGATAGAGTTTATGGATCTCCAACCGATCCGGCCACGCCGAGCAAACAAACTCAAACGGATCGCCATCGTCGCCTCTCGATACGTCGACGAGCAAGCTGATATGAAGCCGCAAATCCTCACCTGAGCTATCTTCTCCGGGCTTCGGAACGAGTTCGTATCCTTCGAACATTGTCGCTTCAATTTTGATCTCTTCAGCAACGCCAAACTTCCTCGCCATTGTCATCCATTGCTGCCCTGGTCGGTCCTCCCCGACGAACAAATCGAATTCCACCGCCGGCTAGAACCAAGGTATAATCAACAGTTGGATTCCTTTTGTTTTCAAATTGCTCTAAAGCCCTAAACAAATTGGGGCGGAAGTAGACACTGAGAAATCAAGGGATTAGATTGGTCGATCCCGGTGCGCCGGTGCGTAATCATACTGGTATTCGATCTCGTTGTCGAGGATTCGGAGGATGTTGGCTTCGGAAGGCGATTTGGAAGCTCTGTCTGTGGCGAAAGCTCTGGATTGGAAGAGACAACTAGCAGTGGCCGGCTTTGGGAAAAGAGTAGTTCGCTGACTGTGCTAGAATGAGATCAAGACTCTGTTCGCAGTACGAAGGAACCTGGCAGCCATTTCTATTGTCCTCGCCAACGGCCTAACCAGGGTTTAACCGTCGAGCAAAATGACTAATAAAATAATTTAAATTATTAAAAATTACTTTTTAATTTATTGTAATAATGAGGTGGAAATTACTAAAAATTAAATTTTATTATTTATTATTTTTTAATTACCACGTCACTCATTTAACGGTCAACTGAAAGAGTTGACTGCCACATCAGCAAATGTTAACGGAGACTAACGGCTATTGACCAAACTTGAACTGTTAACCTAATTTAAGTGACTATGGATGGAATAAAGTAATTCTAGTGGCTAACGTGAAATTTACTAGTAATTCAAGTAACACTAGAACCAGGGACGGAGCCAGAATTTTTTGGTAGGAGGGGCCAATAAAAAAAATTGTGACACAAATATCACTTCCGAATTATATACAAGATTTTTATAAAAAAAACTGCATATAATTATGTGCAATCTAAACATAATTGTATATCTCTTTGAAGTATTTTTATCATGCAACATATTATTTTTAGGGTTTGTAATTGAAACTTCGAATATATTATAAGTTATAACCGAAAAAACAAAACAAGAACACAATAAAATTTCAATTACGAATTACGTAAAATTCAACTTAAAAATGTGAAATAAACTAAAAATGGGTACACAAAGCTTGAAATCACATGAAATGCGTGAAATTTGCCTTTAACATGTAAAATAAACTAAAATTTTGTGAAAAACCTCGCCTTATAAAAACTTGAAATTGCATAAAATTAGGAAATATGCCTTAAAATATAAAATAAACTAAATATTTGGACATAGCATAGCTAGAACTGTGAAACTTAAAACATGGAAAAAGAAAACAAAGTTGGGAATTGATCTCTGGCCATTTATTATACATACAAGGAAAAAATCACTCTTCTTTTACGAGTAGGACCAAAAGAAAGGTTGAATATATTTTGCCACCTCTAAATTCTAATATATAATTTTGGAAGGAAGCGAACTGTAGCTAAGGAGGAGATCCTCTCCTGCGGACGCGACTAGGTGAGCTCCCTCTTATTTTGTCCTCTTGTATTCAGTATGAAAGGGACGTACACTATGCTTGAGTCCTCTTCTTTATTTTATCTTCTTGTATTCAATATGAAAGTGGCGTGCACTATGCTTGGGTCCCTATAGTCGGTGTGCACTGTTGTTTCCCCGTAATTGCTTTATTGGAGGCTTTTAATCCCGTTGCATGTACTTGTACCGTCACATAGCTGCCCATTTCCTTTCCTATATAACCGTCCATATCTTTGAAGGAGAGTCTCACAATTTCTTCCTTTCTCGAGCCATTATGTGTTCTTTCATTCTTTTTTTTTCGTTCTACTTGTTTCTTCCACAGTTGCATGTTTGTTCATGGGATGGTCATTTCATGGAATTCCTCGACCGCATGGTTGATGTTCTCTCTATCCATTTTGTGTGGTTTCTCAAAAGTTGTATCCTTCCTTTTTAAGTAATGATGTGACTGGTTGGGTAGGGTGAGATATTTGTTGCTGCACAAAAAGATGCATATTCCTATTGCTGCTCTGTCATTATTTCCACCGCCGCCGCCAGGTTTACCACAATGGCTCGTTGGAAAGGACCATTCTCATAAGTCCATTGTTGGTTTGTTTATCTTCTGTTTAGGTGAGAAAGTTACCATTTTTTAAAAAGGAAAATGGTTCCATGGTGGATTGCAATTTCAGGGGTAGCACCATATGTCCCCTCGCTTTCCGAGGTGCCAGCTTTTAAAGGTGTCTCCATTTGTTTAGGAGTTTGCAAGAAGCACAATCTGACCTACAACTGTGCCTCGTTCTGGATGGCGAATGTCTTCACCTACAACACACTCGGAGCCGTCGCGTTGCAAGACAAGGACGTATCCAACCCTGTGCCAAAGAATCTGGTGTGGGAAGCTCTCAACACTCATGGTTGACGATGACGATATAGGGATCTTTGAAGTTTTTTTCTGGGATGTTTTCGGCTTATGCAGCTCGATGTAATTGTTCCCATGTGTTGGTGTGGCATTAATTCTTGCATTTTGTTGTGTCACCTTGTACGCTAGATTTGGTTTGGTTGAGATTGAACTCTGGAAAAACAGAAGCACTGAGATTTTGATCTAAGCTGGAAAAATGAGTAAGGAAGTTGGATATGCTCACTAGACACTAGACACTAGCTTATGTTTATGTATTATTACCTTTGCTCCCACTTCTCAACCATTCTCATTATGCCATGCACTAATGCAAACCTCTGTTCGAAAATGAGAGGCGCCCCCCAACACTTCAGACTAGCCGACTCAATTATAAGGTGTGATATTGCAAGCGATCCACCAACCTATATCACCTTATCCAGATTCGATGGATTTGCCAGTTTAGCCGTGCATCTTAATTATGATTATCGTACTTGCAGCGAGCGGGGATTCAAAGCTGTTTTTAATAAACATGCTAGAGTTTTATCTAAACTAATGTGCACGTACACGTATGGCTCTACAGGAGTCTTTATGAAGTTGGACTTCGTTGTCGGGTGTTCTACATAGAAGAGGATCAGCACATGTCATGCGCCATGAACTGCAAAATTGACCAATCCCTGACGTCAACTCAAGTGTGTCAAGTGTGTTGAATGTCTTCGCTAAGATATCCGAATCCATTTCCTCCCATTTCCTTTCTGAAGAACCGCTTTCGTTCATCCTTTGCTTTTTTTATTTCACTGCAATCGTGGTTCTTCATATGTCTAGCCATTGTCTTAATAGAGGACATAATGCATGGCATTATGTGACTGTTAGCTTTTCACATTTTCACTAAATTGCATGTTTTTAGTTTTGGTCTTTTATTGATGGACACATAATATGAGTCATCTATATCTGTTACAATCATCATCCGTCCCAATTCAGACCAAGCAAAAAGGGGTGAAACAATAGTGTTCATGTAACTATCTAACAATATCATATTTTTTGCTGGAATTCTAATTTTTTTTATTGGGATATGCATACAGACAAATAAAATGAGAACCCCAATTGTGTATGGAACATTATTGGTCCAACCTTGTCTCCATGCATGTGTAGATGTTGGGAAATAAAAGATGAATTAGCAATTATTTATTTTAAACTTTGTGTATTATTTTATGAAGGATTTGTATGGGAAACTTGTACATAATAAAACAAAATAAGTCATTTAAATATGTGAATGTAATGATATATGTATGTATGTATTAAGATTTATATAAATTTTGAACTCATGATCTTGAGATAAACGCTTAGCAATTACAACAAATAACTTTTGTATCTAAAATGAATTAGTATTAGTAATTCCTTTTATTTGGCCCATGTACAAGGTTACTGTACACAATTATTTTCTTCAAAATTATATCGTGAACAGTACAAAAAGATCGGTTCAAATCCAACAAGAATAAAGTGATAATTGTACCGATTTGGTTACAATAAATTCAAGGCAAGAAGATGCATGGCAGGTATCGTCCGTCAAATAATAGTTAGTAAAAGAAAGCAGAAGCGACTGTGTAGAAGAAATCGACGTAACCTAAACTCTAAACTATGGTTGTCACTTTTTTGTTACTATAAGAAACAAATGCCATCAGAATGTTAGTATTTTTCACCTGTATATCTATGGCTACAAGTGGATGGACAGTCTTTAATCTGTACACGGACAGGGCAACAACTAACCAGTAATTAATGGCTACAAATCAAAATGGTCAAAAGGTCTTGATCGGTCGGACTTATCAAAATGTGAAACCATACATCACATATTCTTTCTGCTTGAATTTTCAAACTAGGGCCTTTGGTACAGGCGTACATCAAGTTGAAGGCAAATGTTGGCCCATTAAATAGTGAAGAGAAATGGACGGGTCCGAAAGAGAAGAGATATGAAATAATTTGGCTATTTCGGGAAGTTAACGTCGGTGTTTAATTATTATGTTGTCAGTTGCAGTACTGCTTATAATAAGACAAAACAGGCATCATTTTCAAACTTTGTAGCTAAGGAGGAGATCCTCCCCTGCGGACGCGACTGGGTGATATCCCTCTTGTTTTGTCCGCTTGTCTTCAATATGAAAGGGACGCACACTATGTTTGGGTCGTCTTCTCTATTTTATCTTCTTGTATTCAATATGAAAGGGACGTACACTATGCTTGGGTTCATATAGTCAGTGTGCACTGTTGTTTTCCCGTACATGTATCTATTCGATATGAAAGGGACGTACACTATGCTTGGATCGTTCTTCTCTATTTTGTCTTCTTGTATTCAATATGAAAGGGACGTACAATATGGTTGGGTCCTTACAGTCGGTGTCCACGATTGTTTTCCCGTACATGCATTGTTGGAGGCTTTTGATGTCGTCTAGGTGAGCTCTTTTTTGTTTTATCTGCTTGTACTCAATGCGAAAGAGACATATACTATGCTCGGGTCCCTATGGTTGGTGTATGTTGTACACTACATGTATTAATGCCATTGTATGTGCTTGTACCGCCAAATAGCTGTCCATTTTTGTTCCTGTAAAACGTTCCTATCTTTGAAGAAGATTCTCACAATTTTCTTTCTTACTCGAATCGGTATGTGCTCTTTTGTTCATTTTTTTTTCTATTTATTCTTTCTATAGTTTCATGTATTATTCCTCAACTGCATCATTGTTATTCTTCCTAACCATTTCAGGTGGTTTTCCAGATATTGTTGCTGTGATGTTTGATATAGATATGATCTGTACATTTGTGGGGTTTCGGGGGCTTCGTATTGGCATCTATGCTGATGTTATCATAGCTCGGCTTCTCAAAATATGGATTGAGCATAGTGGAAATCCTACATGCCTCAGACGAACAATACATATGTTGTGGATTGATAAAGAGGTTTGTACCAGATCTTTATTATATACAGACATTTCATTCTTGTATGTTTTACCTGTTTAATTATTGTTTTGCAGAAACGTTTGCTTGAAGGTTATGCTGAAGAAGATAATATTAAAGAAATGAGTATTAAACTTAATGTCAGCCGCTTAAAACACGGTTCTCAGACGTCCCATTACAGTCACAAACTATTCTACATTATTCAGGTAATGATGTCTATATATTTATTTGTTCATGTGATGATTGTAATTCATAACCTAACTATCAATTAAATTCCAAATGTAACAGGATGTGTTTTTCACCTTACTATCCCATAATGTACTGCCGGCGGACTTACAATTTGAACTTGTGATGGAAGATTTTAGGTATCCTACATTACTGAATTTTGCAAGGACTTTCACCGTTTAGATATAATGTTAACTGTTTTTATGGCGCTTATGCCAAGCCTCAGTTTCACCTAAAGTGCGTGTATGCTATATATGGGATCCATTGTTTATATCTTTATCGTCGACTTAGACATGATATCCAGATGATCAATCGTGTTAGATGGTACTATCTTGATGTAATATCTCGTTCTCTGTGGTTGTGTGTTTTTGTTATGTGTTACATTGTAAGCGGTTGTTGTTTTGTGTTTTCTGTCTAAATTGGCGACCTTGTGTTTTTATGGCATTTTTTTTACCAAATGTTACATGTATTAGGAGATGATCCTCTTTTTATAGTTGTAGTTGAGTTTTATTGCGGATGGTCACGTTAAAAGTTAACGTGAACTTACGTTGATATTTTACAACCTACCTTGGATAATTATTGAGTTTGTGGTTATTTAAATATTATACGCGTTATAATATTGTTAATTCGTGAATTTTCATTTGAACATTATAACGAATATTGATGGATCGAAAAGTAGATTTAGATCTATATGGGTTGTCGGTTTTGCGTGGTCGACTAGGGTGCATGTGGTGCACTTATTGTGGTAGCTATTTTTTTGTAATGATGAAATAATTTAGTAAAATTTAGTAAAGTTAGTGGAAAAGGATCGCATCTATTTGGGGGGGGGGGGGGAGAAAGAGAAGAAATAGCTGAGGAAATGATGTAAAGGAGAAAGAGAAACAAGTATGCCGGGGAAGCTATCAGGCATCTCATGTAAAAAGTACTGCTACTGTCGCTTTGAGTCTATGATCCACATGGGAAAGACTATATAGACTAGGGTTAAAAAAAATAATGGCTATAATTATTTGAATAAAGTATCTTATCGAATATGTAAAATCATTCATCTTTATTTGGATGACCAATTTCATCTACGTATTGGTATATAATAATGTACATTTTGCTCGAGACATTGAATTGTATCTCAGAGTAACCCATCTGTCTGTTTGCAGTAAAAAACACTTCGTTTGCGAATCTGAAACACCAAAATGTCATTGTTTTATTGCATGAGAGAGCTAAAAGGCTTTGTGCAATCTATGGTAGATGAGGTACGCGTCTTTGTTTGGTTTAGTTCCTCGTTCTATCATTTATTCGTTTTTCCAATCTTTGTAAGTTCTTGTTGTGTTGAAGGGCATTTTGGACAATCAGTTTTCTCAAGTTCAGGCTCTCCAAGATGCTACTAATCCTGAATTTGTAACTGAAGTTATCAGTTCTTTCTGTCGCGATGGTGATAGGATCGTAAGAGAAATCAACAGGGATTTGTATGATATTTGCCCGTTTTCCGTTCCCAGTATTGTAATCCCGCCTATTTATCTATGTCATTCTGGTCTCCGAAATTAAATACGCTGGCTATTTTTTTTTTGTCCATGTGTTTTGCAGAGGTGCTATTGACGTGAATTTTTCTCAAATTGAAGAATCCTTGCATCAAATTAGAGGCAGTAGCTCCACGTCGGGATCTTGAACTTTTTCTTATGTTCATTGTTTTTCACAGGTGTTTTGGTGTGTGCTGTAAAGTTTAATTTGTATTGTTTTGTATTTATAGCATTGGGGCACGACGACTAAAGGTTGTTTGTGACGAACTTCTTCAAGCATGTGTTGACAGAAACAGAGATAGGTTAGCCCACAGTATAACTTAAATATCAGATCAATTTTCTGGGATTGTGGGTTGCATAGTTCATTCCTTACTGCATCTTGTGTTTTTTCTACAGGAGTATACGTTTTGCTAATGATATCACTCGAGAATATTGCATTCTTCGCAACAAGTTGGGAAGTATACTTGAGGTAGAAATTTTCGTTATATAATTTTTTTAACACTTTTTAGAGTATAGACACAATTTATTGATCTCGTATTTTTATTTTTCAGATGGAGAATGAGATTTTTGCATTAAAAAGATCTTAGAAGTAGAGGACGGTTGGATGGGGTTTTGTAGTATGCGTTTCTGTTGTTTAATTTATCTTGGCGTAGTTTTTTAATATTATTGTCAGTGAACGATGATCTGCTTGTTTGAATTTTTTTGTTGGGAATTGACTTTTTACTTTTTTTTCTTTGTTTCTCCATTATGTGTGTGACGACTATGGTTAGTTATTTAACCAGAATGTTAATAGGTGTTGGAAATCATTCACGTGTCTTCAAAAGTAGTGTGTTGATGTGCGCACGATTATCTTCACTGTGAATTGAGCT